CATGTCTAAGCGACAAATTAAAGCATTGAATCAGATTTTTGGGTTCACACAAAACGCGCATCAGAAGCCGCGTGACTTTGGTGAGACGCATGAATCACACCTGAAACGCTCGACGCGCGTTCGCCTAACGCCATTTTCCTCATGGCGTCTTGTGGACGCACCACTATTGGGGCTTAGATTGCGATATGTGGACCCGTTTATAGACTTAAAGCATAGTTGAGTTGATGATACTTTCTATAGCTAAAATCTTGTGAAGAAGACAATTGTTCATGACATATATTAAAATCTAATAGTTGAACAAATATTTTCTTCTATAATAACATCATCAAACTTTTTATGTGATTTTCAGAAACATGCGATATATTACAAATCTGTTCACCGGATATACACATAAACTGTTTCCATCAAATTAATACTTTAATTTTTTTTTCTCCAAACCGTTATCTAAAATTAATTTCGTGACTACTATTGTTTTCGTTACTATTCTATTTTAATTCCCTTTATTATATTTATCCCTCACATTATTATCGTTTATTTAAAAATTAATATATCGACGGTACCTTAATGTTATTATATAAATCAAAATAAATGTGACATGGTCGATCACAACTTAGGCACTTCTCTTTTACGAAAAAAAGCCCCAAAAGACTTTTTCTGAAACATATAAGTAACAACAAACTCTCTCTCTCTGCTTATCCTGCGCAGTTTCACCACCGTCGTCTCCGTCGCAGAGCCATCGTCTCCGCCGCGAATCAATCTCACCGGAGAGAAAAAAAAACTCCGAAATCGCCAATGGGGAAAGGCGGTACGCTTAGCGAAAGCGTGATTAAGAAGATCGTTCTCTCATACAGCTACGTAGCGATATGGATCTTCCTGAGTTTCACCGTAATCGTCTACAACAAATACATCCTCGACAAGAAGATGTACAATTGGCCATTCCCGATCTCACTCACAATGATCCACATGTCCTTCTGCTCAACCCTAGCTTTCATCATCATCAAGGTTTTCAAATTCGTCGAGCCGGTTTCAATGTCTCGAGATACTTACCTCAGATCCGTCGTTCCGATCGGTGCTTTGTACTCTCTCTCACTCTGGCTCTCGAATTCCGCTTACATTTACTTATCAGTCTCCTTCATTCAGATGCTTAAAGCTTTAATGCCTGTTGCTGTTTACTCAATCGGAGTTTTGTTGAAGAAGGAAGGTTTCAAATCTGATACTATGGTTAATATGCTTTCGATCTCGTTCGGTGTTGCGATTGCTGCTTATGGTGAAGCTAGATTCGATGTTTGGGGTGTGATTCTTCAGCTTGGTGCTGTTGCTTTTGAAGCGACTCGTTTGGTATTGATTCAGATCTTACTCACTTCTAAAGGAATCACACTTAATCCAATTACTTCGCTGTATTACGTTGCTCCTTGTTGCTTGGCTTTCTTGTTTATTCCATGGATCTACGTTGAGTTCCCTGTGCTTAGAGATACGTCTAGCTTCCACTTCGATTACGCGATTTTCGGGACGAATTCGATCTGTGCGTTTGCTTTGAATCTTGCTGTGTTTCTACTTGTTGGGAAAACCTCTGCTTTGACTATGAATGTTGCTGGTGTGGTTAAGGATTGGCTCTTGATCGCGTTTTCGTGGTCTGTGATTAAGGATACTGTCACTCCTATTAATCTTTTCGGGTACGGGATCGCGTTCTTGGGAGTTGCGTATTACAATCATGCGAAGTTACAGGCGTTGAAGGCTAAAGAAGCTCAAAAGAAGATTCAACAAGCTGATGAAGAGAGTGGTCGGTTGCTTGAAGAGAGGGAAGGAGATAGTGAAGGTAAGAAGAATGAGTCTGATAACTAAATGAAGAGGTTTTTGATAGAAATTGAGCAAACACATGATTGGTTGAATAAGAGAGACTTATGATTTGGACACAAAGAGGTTCTTGTTGAAATCTTGTGGTTGATTTGCTCATAGGTAGTGATGTCAGAATCTC